GGGCTCAGGGTGCATCTGCAGAGGTCCCCACCGCCCTCTGATCTGTGAGCTGGCACACATCACGGCGTCCATTCACAAATCCTCCTTCTGCGCGTCACCTTTTGTAGTACTCCATAGTACTGAGCGCTGGTGACGTGTAAGACAATCCTACCAAGGAAAATACAGAGGAAAAAAAATAGGTTATAGGAACTCAAGGACAGGGCACATGCGCACAATGCATTCGATTTATTGTAGTAGTAGTAGGAGGGGTGTGCATATATGTGTGTGTGTGTGTGCGTGAGGAGGACGGAGGGAGGAGGAGGGGGTGCAGAGCTATAAGTGAATATGAAATAGACCTAGGAGCTGGATTTATAGGCTGCAGAGAAACACAATCAGACGTTCCTGCTCTACCAGACTTGATTTTTTTGGTTTTGTTTTTTACAAAAAACAGGGGGTATTAACCCTTCCATGCAAAGCAAAAGGAGACTCTCCACTGCTTTCTGAAACAAACAAGAGAAAAGAGGGGAGAAAACTGAAGCATTCATTTATTTAGTAGAACCTGACAGACGTAACGTGCGATAATCAATATTTCCTACTTCCCTGAACAAGAACAGAATATATTCATGGTAAATTATGATTTGATCCAACCTATGCTTTAACCATAAGGCAACACTCACGTTTTACACTTTTGAAATAGTAAAGAAAAAAAAAAGAAAAAAACAGGCCACGTTAATGATAAGGGGATCGTATTTGGGCAAATTACCAATAGCTCTAAACTTCATAGAGGCAAAACCATCGATTGGTGATTTGACGTAGGGCCCTGCTGGCGGCTATATGCATGTTACTTGACAGGTCGATACAGAGCAAATGAGAACAAATAACGCTTAATTATAAAAAACTGTGCATTTGTGTGCAACATGTGAAAAGATGGCAGACCAGGCTTCGAGTTTCTGCACACATTCGAGGCGGAAATTCATCCGAAATTGGTTCATAACAATCCCTTTTCAGGAATATATCTACTTCTAACTGCAACACATATTCGATACACACAGCACATGCACAGGGGTTTTAAAGTCACCTTAAATAAAAACTACACACGCCTGTTAAACAAGCGGTTGAGGCCTGCTTGATAGGCACATGCATGTACGTTATAACGCCACTATTACAGACTGATTCGGAGAGGTTTGGGCAATGTTACAAGCTAGAAAAACTAAATATTATTGTGGATTCATATGTCCATTTTAACCGCATCTGGACAGCTCAGGCCCAGATATACAGATTAAAAAAACCATGGTATTATTATCAAGGGGTGAGCTACCAACATAAAGCCTTCCTAAAGACTGCCTTCCCCCCCTTGTGTTAATCAATATTTAAATAAACAACAAACATCCTGAAGAGTGAATATGGAGGGGCTTCACTCTCTAAAGCAACTTAACAGCCGATTAAGAGCAAGACAATAAAACAAAGCATGCATGGCAAAAGCCAAACATAATAATAAGGCAGGCTTATAAAACAGACTTACTAACAGATTCATATGAGTCCATTAATGACTGACTTTACTTGGAAAAAAAATAAAATCAGAAAACAACAACATCATAATATGCAAATCAACTGAATGCTACAGCACTATTTTAACCCTTAATCAACCAGGACAAACTGTCCTACAATGTATTTTCATGCACAAGCACTTAAAGTAAAGCAGAAACCCCGGTTTACATGTCAAACTACAGAAATCTTCTGGAAGCAAAATAAACAGCGACGATGGTGATCATACCCCGAATAAAATAGGACACATTTTGTCTTTCTTTTTAACCACCACAGATCCAAACAAGCCAGTCAGAACTGAACAATCAAACCCCCACAATAGTGGGATTACGTGCTTGTAAAGTATACACTGCAAAAAATACATATATAGTCAAGTTTGGAGTATTAAAAGCTTGTTTTCCTGTTAATAACTGCAGCAGAGTTAAATGACTTCTGCACACTGGTGCTTCACCTTATTTCGGGGGTACGTCCTGCACGTAGAAATCCCTATTCCCGATTTGCTATACCATCAATCCAGTCTCATATTTGTTATAAAAACGCCGCTTCAAAATGAAAACAAGTGGAACAAGTGCCAGATATGTCACTTTTTACAGAGAATTAACATTCCAGGGTATAATATCACACTGTTCGGCGTGTTAAAATGTTTATGTTTTGCAGTGCACACAGGCTCTTATTAAAATTCAGAGCCTGAAATGGTGTCATTTCCTCCAGACATCCCTGTTTTGCTGCGAGGTTAGAGGCCAAGCCCAGGCGGTAGCGGCCTGTCTGTGCCTCCATTGTCTGCTGCTTATTTAGCGCTCAACATTAATCTGCGCTTCCCCTCACAAGTGAGAAACAATCGCAGCATGAGAGTGGCCTGTCTAATTACATCTTTCACTCCCAACTTTCACTTCAGCAGGCCGACGTGCAGGGCTCGGATGGGCCCTTCCGTGATTGGGGACATGAGAGATACTTCAAGTAGATTTTGGGATAAGATTTTTTTAAACGCATCAGTATCATGGAAAAAGATGTTACTTTTAGTTGAAAAATACTATTCAGATATGAGCTTGAAGCTTCTGACGTTGTGTTAATGTGTGTGCATATGAGCTGTTAATGCGCATGTGAACGCAAACTCCAGATTAAACCCAAACTAATATTTTATGAAATAAGACTTCACTCTGGCTGCTTTGAAATTTGCACAAAGCCTGTATTTAACAAATGTAAAGTCAAGGAAGGGTTATTTTTTTCCTGCAGGACAATACCTGGCATTGACTCGGGCTTAAATTACAGTAACGTGCCACAAATACAAATTAAAACAACTGTTCTGGGCAGCAGGTTATTGTTTCAAACACAAGTCTATGGCAAAAGTCACCACAGCTCAAATAGATGTGGATAATCTATATATTATAACGGCTGACTGGCCTGTGATTCACACATAATCACAGCATACAACAAAATAGGTTATGTCCTCATTTTAGAAATTTGGATCCAAGTTACTCCCAAAAAACTACAGGAACAGACAATGCATGTTTGTAATAATATAAAAAGAAGCCAGTCGACTGACTTTCTAACTGAACTGTTCAAAGGTTCCTCACTCAGTCTCAGTCTTGCTGCTCCTCTGGTCCTCCTCGATGCCCCCTTTTCTTATTTTACGCGCAGCCCCGGCTCAAACGCCAGCGGAGAACCGACTGAGCCACCCCTGCGAGCCCGGTGGCGTCCTGGGAGGAGAAACACAAACTTAGTGCTGGTCAGCAAAGTTACTCAAAGTTTTGTCTTTGGCGCGACTCGGTACCCTGAGCACTGTGCACAAAACAGTTTGTTTGCATCACTGATTTCTTTTAAAGGGATATGGACCCAGTTCTTGGTCGACCGCAGCGTCACGACAGGCGAACATGAGAACATCAAAAATACTTAACACACATCCATGCGCGTTTGAAATCAGACAGGGAAACATGTCACATTTCACTTTTAGATGCATTTTGGTGCCAATTATGAGGCGACTGGAAGCAACATGTCACATTAGACCATCCTGCAAATCAGAGTGGTTAAATTTCATGATAAGAACCAAGAAGGGTTTGTTACTGTGTTACCAAAAGGAGATAAATGTTTTGAAATTAAATTCAAAATTCAAAGAAAATAGCCCAGTTCCATCCAGTTCAAAATGCGAGCACACAGCCCTGCAGCAGTTCTGTTTTGCGCATTTAACCTTGGCCAGGACAAACTGACTAAAGTTACTCTGAGTGCAATTGTCCTTACAGGTGTTATAATACTCTTTCATTTAGATATATTGTGGGATATTTCCAACAGACAATAGTGTTTTCAGTCTTGTATGAAGGTGTATTTTCAGATATTATTTCAACACATGTTGCCTCAAAGATTCTCATGTCTCGGGCCCCCAAATGCACCTACAAAAGGCCATTTTACCCTATTTGGATAGGACTGTGTCTCATTTGCCTTCACATGAGCAGATTTTGGTTTGTTGTTATTGTTTTAAAATGAAACTGTATTGAACTGAAGGCATTTAAAAGTGTCGAGAATTAAAATTATTTACACCGAATGTATGTTATAATGCATCCAAAGATATTAAAAATGCACTATTCTCTCATTTGATTGGGAATCCCTCCCTGCCCTGCAAGCAAGGAAGCCCGGGGGTCCCCACAACCCACTTTGACAAGCGATGCTTTAATCTCTCATTGTTTTAATAAACACAAACAAAGCGGTGTGAATTATGTTTCTCTTTAGAAACTAAAACTCCCCCCAAAAAATGTAAGTTGCAGGTTCATAAACACAGATGAATTATGGGGAGTATCTGGGAGCATGCACTGGATTTAAATTAGGCTTCTCCTCCGTCAATCCAGGACTCTTTCCCTTTACCAAGGCGAAGATGGGCGTTTGTGGACTGAGCTGGAGTCTGCGTCACGTGGCCCGGTTTCTGCCATCCTATTGGTCCAAGGCACGTGTCTGGGAGGACGGTGGGAAAACGTCACTCGGGGGGCTCGTATTGAAAATAAGAACAAAACTCCAGAGTGAGAGTATTAGAGCATCAGTTTAGGAGCCTCTTTATTTACCCTTAGTTTAGTTTAGGCGTAGGCATTACTGGGCACACTGAAATCGGATAACAATAAATTGGACGGTGCGCAAATGGCACATGTTTTAGCTCTACGGTATCAGTTGTAACCCGAGATTGAGGGAATATATGTCAAAAAGTATGCTTTTCTCAGAGGACACTACCGCAAGGCTTTGCATGGTGTCCAAGGCACTCACTAGAATTTGAGTTTTATTTTTTTTATTTATTTTACGCGTGCAGTTTTTTGCAATTTAATCCCCCCCCCCCGAAGTTCTTTGCAAATTTTA